CTATTCAGCACATCTGAACATCGAACCGATTACGCAGACAAATATCAGATTTGTTCATTCGATAGGAAATCTTTATTTCTCCGTCGGTGTAGATGTAGCTCAGACATGTGCTCTATCACGTCTACGTAGCTTAAGTGAAATGCATGGCGCGTCTCCTAGCCTTCACTTCTCGCTTGCATCAATAGAACAGGCCAGAAAAATCTATCGTTCAATTTTCGTTGAATAAACCAGCTTTCAAAAGTATCTCATAGTGTAGATCGCTAAAACTCAGCAGAATTTTTTGCAGGCACACCTACGCGGTAGCCTACGAGCGAAGTAGATTCAAACACAAATTAGCGCTTTATTTTTAGTAGATATAGCTGACTTTGGCGGTTGTAGCTTGATAAAAGTAAAAAATCTGTTGATCAGTTTGAACGGTGAAGATGAATCATTAAGTAGATACTCTGCTAAGTTGCTTACTTCTAATGCCTTGTAATAACTGAAAAAACCTATGCACGGGTTGCGTAAACATTCTGATAATTTTTGTAGATATTTCAGCAGTTAGAACATGCTGCAAAGAATAAATCCATTTAATCAAAGAATAATTCCGTTTATTTTTTTATTTACTCGACACGTCATAACAATTTTTTGTGCGGATCCCAATACTTCTAGCATCGATTCGCTTTTCGTCTTCTTCTTGGGTGATGTAGAATACTGGTTGAGCACTGCCTTCTGAAATCTCGAGTATAGCCTAGCCATGACGTTCCATAGGGCGTACTTGTAACTGCCGGAGAGTGCTGGGAGTGGACCTCGGTTCCACGCGCACCGTGACGAGCTTCACAACCACTCGGCCATAGCGTTTCTAATTCCGTTTATTAGATCCGCAATTATAACACCAAACAAAATTTTTATGGGAAACTCCCAAAATTGCCTTGTTTGGATTCTGTACATTTACGAAGGCGCTCGTGACAAGTTTTCAAACGATGCTTGCACATGTCTCCACCGTAATTTCGTCCCAAACACGTGTCAAAGCAGCTCTGAGAGCCTCTACTTCAGTATGGCGAATAGCCGAGACTTTTCCCTCCGACGAAATAATCTATTGGGCTGAAAACCGGCGAATTTGATGGATAAATATCCTTGCCCGAAAAGCTTAGCTGCTGAAGCGTAAGTCCGCTGGGGCAAAAGTGTTGAGCACTCCAATACTTCAGTACGTCTCGTGAAACTTGATGCTGGTAGCCGATAGTGTTGATTTGCATGTTTCTGGTGATGAAGACCAACTACATCTTTTCGGTGGCACAAATGCTGACAAAGACAATCAGAGAGGAATGAAAATGGCTGCGGCCCATGGTTTTGCTAATGCGGAGTTCTGCTGACTCTTCTCATGCATAAAAGGCACCTTCGACAAACCAGTTACATCCACAAAAACGGATAATTCAACGTTCCTTTGAAAGCCTTTCTTTCATCTTTTTGCTCAGAGAGTGTACACGAGCGGTCTCGTAACTACACAGCTTCAGCTTATCTATGACAGTGTTGGATCACTCCACTGGCTGATCCCGAGCTTACCAAACCATTTTCTTTATTGAAAGCTCCGGATTTCGCTGAACATGAGAGTGGATCTTTTTAATGTTCTCCGGAATAGGCGAGGTTATTGAACGACCTTTTCAACGGCCGTACTTAATCCCTCCTGTCTTTCTGAAACGTTTTGCGAATTTGCAAGCACTTGCTGGTTTGAAGTCAGAGAATAATAACAATTAAACGCTTTCATTTACGTCTTTTGCAATTCAACCACTGCGATACGATGACGTTATTGATCTGTAACTTGAGTTTACCTGAAAAACAGGCATTCATATCAAATAGATTCCAGATCAAAATTGAGCAAAGAATTCAAAAAAGTTATCACCATTAGTAAGAAGAGTATGCGTGATAATCATTTTTGAGCCACGTATGTCAGTGGTTATCAAAGAGGCTGACTTATAGAGTCCGATAGACGTGTTTCGATCTTGCGATCTCGTCAGTCGGGCAGTTACCCTTTCTCGTTTTTTGCTAGTCTCGTAAGAGTGCTCCAGTCCTCACACTAAGAGTTAGCGACGGCGAACGTCTTACACTCTATGTTCAGTGAAATTCTCACTGAACATAGAGCGTTGTACACTTGATTCTCATGGGTAGTTATCAATATAATATATCATTCGTTTTTCATCTTTCAAATTTCACTAGGCATAGAGTGTAAAACGTTCGCCGTCGTTAACTCCTAGTGTGGGTACTGGAGCGCCCACACAGGATTGGCAAAAGACGAAAAAGGGTAACTGCCCGACTGACGAGATCGCAAGATTGAAACACGTGTATCGGGCTCTATAAGTCAGCCCTCCTTAATAGACAACTGGCATGGGGTGGCTCAAAAAATGATTATCAATTTGAGCTGTGGTCTTAAGAAAACACTCGAAACGGAAGTACGAGAATATTAAGTTATTGCTAAAATTGACATAATACAAAATTATGGGAACTTTACACATACCTGGATATATAGATCGATATACATATATGTGTATATTCACGTGCGTAGTACTATATATATATATCACCTGCATCACCTGTGTTACCTGAGTCCCAATGATCGTCAAGTGACTCGAGCGGGTATTAGCAACGCATCCATATTTGCCCTATCGCGTGCAAGAGTAGCCCAGTGGGTCCATCTCGCTCTAGGGATTCGCTGAGCACCATATCTTTTTCCCATAGCTTTCGTGGAGAAATCGGACCACACGAGTCGATGGTCTTTCTGTTAGAGCGCTTAATGTCCCGAGGATTTCAGTCGGCAACTGGCTCTCGTCCATCAGTTGTCGATGATGCGCATTACTTACCCGGCCCACACTTTATATATATACGTATATGTACCAATTGGGTTATTTGAGTTATTTATTTTTTATTTAGGTTATTTATGTCATTTTGAATAGATATTTTCTTATAAGTAGGATAAATAAATTTTTTCTATAAGTTGCACTGAAATATAGTGACTTTTCTCGCCGAGCAGAGCTTATTTAGTCTTTCAGTAGTCATTCACACTTTGAGAAATGTCGAATCTAATCCTGGCCTTTGTTTTTGGGAAACTCTTCTTTGTTCGTTATGACATTAATTAAGAAATAATTATGTTTCGCAGTAGGAGTGATTAGTCCATTGTTTCTATTTTTTAACGAGCCTATTTAGCAACATAAAGTGAAATGAAGAAAAATAGTGCCCTCGAAACCACAGAAAAATTTCTCATAGGAGTGTAATTAATTCGAGAGGTTAAATTTCTGGCTACAACTCTCGTCGTTCGATTACTCAAGACACTTTTTTTCATAACGTTGTAACATCCAAAATAAAACGCTGTTTTTTTTCGCCTTTCGTCCTCATTTTTACCACGAGTATAATTTGCTGGAAATGCGAAAGGCGTATCAGCGTGAAGAGAATTTCCGAAGTACCAGAGTCATTCATTTTCTGGAATTTTTGTCAGTTCCGTAAGAAAAACTCTCAATGAAATAGCAATCGTTGCTGCCGTTTTAATGTAAAGTGCAGTGCATCACTATCGAGCTACGCGGTAGATCAGGCAATCATCTTACTAAGAAGTCGTCGTTGTAGCTTCCCTTCACATTTTACTCAACCATCGGCCTTCGGCGACTTTGTTTACCGGCTAACTCACGGAGCGGAATGGGGACCAGACAACCGATCGCGTTTGAAATGTTGTTATTGAATTGGGGATTTTTTCACGGCATCGGTAAAAACTTCAATAAAACGCATGATTCTGATATTTTGGAAAATTCTCTACACGCTGATATGCTTTTCGTGCCTCCAGCGATTTATACGCGTGATGAAATTGAAGGCGAATGGAGAGTGAGATACAAAATCTTTTTCTGCAAGCTAAAGCGATAAAAGTGTGTTTGAAAAAGGAGCGATGTGGATTTGTAGCATGGGAATTCGAGCCTTCAAACAATTACTAACAATCCTATGAAAAGTTTCTGTCCAGCGAATGAGATCGGCTTAAAAATTTGTCGCCGCCCTAACACATAATTACCTGTTGGTTGACGTTTGTTAATGTAAAACACCTACCACGGACGCGCTTACTATAAGTAACTGTCATGGGCTACTCCTCGATGGGTAGCTATCAGGTTCACTTCACCATCCTCAATTGCATTACAGCACGATACGACTTTAAATCATATGCACATATCAATCATTCTCGCATACAACCACGGGAGTTCGCCTTTCCGAGGCGAGTACACCAGCTTTCTACTTCAAGCTAAGTAATACTATAAGCTCGCTGCTAATGCAAAGTATAAATTAATTTCGGATGCTTCAGCGGTGTGAAAGGGTATTTCCAAAAAAGAAGCATATGGCGCAGTAGCCAGAGATTTGAGCTATTTGCTGCCATATAACAGACAAGTATCCAAATTCATCACAGATTTCGCCGAATCCCTACTTGTTTTTTGAGTGTCTTGACGACATGTCGCCAAGCCATAAGGAATGACGGCAATAGCGGTTGACCCGAATGACGTTTTTTCGTTTTAATAACGGAAATGATTTTGAGGTTGGATAAAGTGAAAACTTACTTGTAGGAATTGTCGTCCTAAGTCCCAATAACTAGTTCATTTTAGAAGCACATCTCTTTCCCTGACGATGAAGATGGCGCAATGACATCCTTCCCGTTTTCCTCAACGGAATCAGTTGTGAGGTAGGAAAAAGTGAAAACTTTATTTGGACGAGAATTTTCTCCGCATAGCATGATGTTACAATATACCCAATAATGTCGAGTGGTGTTTAAAATGTTTTCGTCAGCAGGACTCGAACCAAAATCTCGCTTTTGCAGAAACGCGTGCTGAATCATGCATTACCGAGTGTAACATCATACCAACGCAAGAGGCGGTCTAATAAAAAGCTCCCATTTATTATAGAGACCGAATATCTGTCAACATAAGTGGTTCAATGCCGACAGCCTCTGCTCCACGTCAGACAGTTAACGATGGACTGTCGAACCAGTGATGTGCCCAACTGGCGTCGGTAGTGCAGCGGTTTAGCACGCGCTTTCTGAAGGAGTGAGATCTTGGTTTGAATTCCAGCGGACGCCAACGTTTTTGCACACCACTCAACATCATTGGGGATTTGCATGCACATATGTGTGCGTAGGCGGACACAGAAGTAAACACAGTCATATCGAATTCCAAACTCGTAAAATAGACAAATAATTGAGAATTGTTGGACTTGTGATGCCGTCGACTGAGTATCAGAAGTCTAGCAAAAAGTCATCTACTATTCCTAACATAGCAAAAAAATGCGCGTGGAAGGTGATACTGTAGTTCTCTCATAGCGGCCGCTGCTCAACTCCAACTGGAAACTAAGCGCAGTTTGAAATTTGCCAGATTCAACTTTCGACTAATCACTAAAATGCTAGTGCTATGTTAAACGAAAAGGGTTCTAAAAAATTGTAAATCTAAAGAAGTACACGCTGGTCTCTTAAAAAAGTCCAAACAGTTGATCGTGCAGAATTTCTCCATAATATTTCAAGATGGCGCTACGCATCGTGTAGCGAGTCTGGCCTCCAGCTAAAATAGCAATAAGTCTGATTTTTTCTTTTCAATATGGAAGGTTTTTTGGAATAATCGTAAGCCATTCGTCCTGTTACTCTGAAGCGTATGCTTCCTTTCTTAATTGTTTGTGGTCTAATATATTCTTTTCTTTATAGACTTGTATTTGCTCAATACATAGTGATTTCTAGTCTTGCTGTATTCTTGTTATACATTCTTACGCAGTAGGCCTATAAAGAACTTTCCCTGATTTTGAGAGCTTTTAACCACTTGACGACCGTATGTACCGTTTTCCATACATAACGTGCGCCGTACTCGCGGCGGCGGCTGCGTATTAACACGCCTTAATGCAGATAAGAATTTATTTATTTATTTAAGGCTCTAAGAGAACATTATTGGCATTAACTAATGGAATGTCACAGAAGAAACTTCTATAAAGGATTTTTGTTAAAGAAGACGTCCATCTGCCGGAAATCAATCTACGTTGAACAAAGAACCACATCCCTTTGAAAGGTAACTTACCTACAGTCGTTAAAGAGAATTTGCTTCTCCCTTTTCGATCGATGCTTTTGTACTCATTTGATAGCTTGAAAAATGCCTATCCTCACACTTAGCTTAGATTTTTGCCAGTTACATTCTGCTAATAAAGAACGGACTAGATTCTGCTTTCAAAGTGTGCTGTTCCACTTCCACAACGAATTTTTTGGTATATATAATAGAATTTTGATGTTAAGTAGGTTTCTCTCTTGAAGAGTTATACTGCCATTGAATGGCTTCTATAAACATATTTTCAGAAGGAAGAGCACTCTATTGTCTTGAAAGTCTACATTTTTCATCCAGGATTGTTAAAATGCGGTCGCACTTACGTGAAAAGTGCGCGTGTTTCTTCCTTCTTCCCTCAAAAGAGCTTCTTCACCGAGTTATTAATGATCATGCTCTAGCTTGAGAATTGGAGATTTTAGCAACAAGCTTGGTTTGTGAGAGTACGAAGTGATAATTAGAATGAGAATTACGTTTTACTATCGGCGAAGGCTTTTTAACTTTAGAGAGAATTTTTGGAAATATATCGTGCATTTCGATCTTAAGAAACTTTTATCTTGATAATATACTACAGAATAAATATAAAGAGCTTTATAGTGAAGATTAACCCCATGTATCAAGATATAATCTATGCTTCATCGTGAAAACCACATTGTCTTGAAAGGGAATATATATCTTCAAATATTATCTAACATTCGTTCCTTCCTTTTCATACACGCTTTTGTAGTCATTCTATAGCTTGACAAGTTTGGATTTTCAAAATGAGTTTGCTTTGCGAAAAGGCTTCAATAGTACGTTCGACTAACTAAGGGAAGGGTAACGTTTAATTGTCCGAGCTCATTTTTTCAATTTTTTAGTTTTTATAGTGAGTGAGTACTCGATTCCAGGAAAGCTATGTCGCCATAAGGTATTGAACATTACTGGGGTAGATTTCTATAGACTTGTTTCCAGTAGAAAGAGCACCTAGTTGTCCAAGAAATTTCCACATTTCAGTACGAGCTGTGCGAAGTGCAGTCACATTCTAGTAATGTGCTCGTGTTTTATTGCATTTTATTGCTCTCCAATAAATGAAAGAGGGCTGCTTTTTGTTTTGCATTAGAAAGTACGTATTCTGGACTTTGAACTAGCGTCTTTAAAACTTATGCAACTGGTTTTCGATTTTTCAAACAATTTGTTGTTATTAAAGGATAGATTGTTCATTGGCGAAAAGTTTTTTTTTTGCACAGGAGAATGCCCACGTGTTCCGATAATCAGCACCTTCAAGTCCAAAGCTATATCATTGCGAAAACAACACTTTCACTTCTCATTGTGAATTCCCGTTCGCCCATGGCACGAGAAGTTAACACGAAAACACATTTTCCACAATGCGCAAGTCGCAGAAAGAACATACATGAAGTGAGTTTTAGTATAGAGCCTGAAAAAGCATCGACAGAGTTTGCATTAAACAAATTCAAGAACACTTCCATAGAAAAGCACATTTACAACGTAGCTTCCCTCCTGCTTTTTCAGTAGACCATTAGCAGTCATTCGATAGCTAAAAAAATTATGATCTCAGTACCATGCCTGATTCCATCTTCCCTATCGCGTGCAAGAGTAGCTCAGTGGGTCCTCCTCGATCTAAGGATTCGCTGAGCATCATATCTTTCTTCTATCACTTTCGTGAAGAAATCGGACCAACGCGTCAATGATCTTCCTTTAGAGCGCTTGACGTCCCCGAGGAAATCCAGTCGGTAACGGCTTTCGTCCATCGGTTGTCGTTAAAGCACATCACGTGTCCGGTCCACCTTATTTTTGATATCCTGGCGTGTAGAACGGCGTCTCTGATGTTCGATCGTTGAAGTAGGTCGGAACTTCGGATCCTTTCTCTCATTTGCGAGATACGGGATACTCCTAGTATCGACCTTTCGACTGAGCGTTCGATAAGGCCAAGTGATTTTTCATCCTGCTTACGTAGCGACGCTGCTGCATACGTTTACGGGCAGAGATAATTGTCGAGTCGAAAAGGTGGGCACGGAATCGGATGTTCTTTCGTCCTCTTCACTACATCTTCGATGCTCTTAAACGTTTCCCAAGCCGCTCGCTTTCCTCCTGATCAACTCTGAGCTAGGTCCTTCATCATGTTGATTTCGCGGCCTAGACAGACGTTACTGAGAGCATTCGGAGATTGTCCTCCCGCTGAGCGTGAATGGGGCATTAAAAACCCATCCGTTCCTCATGAACATCGTTTTTGTTAGATTTAGTTGAAGACCAGTCTTCACAGGCTTTATCGAAATCGGTCAACATTTGTTCCGCTTGGCTGACATTTGGTGTTATAAGAACGATATCGTCAGCAAAGCGAGGACGGTTCAATTGTTGATCGTCATTTTCACTCCCATGTCGTCCCATTCTAATGTTCGCATGACGCTTTATAGGGTGGCAAATAGTTTTGGCGAAATTGTATCGCCTTGTCGACGAGCGACATATTAGCAAGAAAATTTCGTAAGAATTCTCAGTAGGAATAACAGTCCGCGTTCAACAGAAAAGCTACAAAAATTAAACTACTTTCTACTCTTACTTCCCATATCTATCGCACATTCTTCAGGTACAAGATAGCGTTTTTTTTTAAATAATCATCCCTCTGATCGTCGCAGATGTCTGTCTGCTGAGCTAAGCGACATTCATCATTTAACGTTTGCAATTTCACAAAATTGCGGTTATCACTCCTACTGGAAAATTTTTTAACACCTCATGATACAAGAAACACATTGTGAGATTTAAAGACGAACATTTTTTTGTTGACTGCAAAACTTTTTCCCATGTTGCCTCTTCAATTAACGCTTAAAACACGAAGGACATCACCAGGAAATTATACCCCACATCAGCAATAGTACATTAAGAGAGGCGCTTCTTAGCAATGCCAGACGTCATGATCACGTTCTCGGAGATGTCTTAAATTTACCAAACTGTTCATTCCTACGCAGTTGTGCAGGTCGCAGGAGAACTGCCTGGAACAATGCGATGTCTTCTAATCTACAATAGGACGCCATAGGGCCAGCTATGCCAAGTCTGCGAAGGAAATCGACTTTACTATAATCCAACAGTACCCATGAAAAGGCGACAATTTCTAAGCAGTGGTTGAAACTTTAAGTGAAGTGTACGAGTGGGTATGTTAATACTGTGAAAAAGGACAACATGCCGCTCCTCATTAGCCTCTCTTATAAACTAGTCTGTGAGGTTGAGCGAAGAAAACCACTATAGAAATCACTACTAACAAATGGTTACATTGCTAAGAGATAGCACATAATTTCCATAAATAGCATTATTATGTATGTTAGGTTTCGCCTTTACATCAGTCAGTCCTTGGTGGAGCAGTGACTAGCTTCTAACTATGAGAGTAATAGCTCAAAATCGATGTACTATTTTACCATTAAAGCGATTAGTTTTGCATCCGGATTTCGCCCAAACAAAAGAGGACACCATACGCTAGCAAAAGAGAAAGCCGAATTGCTACGTCAAAATTTACTTTTGGACAAAAGTATACTTAGTTGGTTGCGAGAGGTAGATTTTTTATCATTTTGTAGCTTATATTGTTCTCAAAAGTTGAAATCAACCTCGCGCCGAGCATCATTTGCCACCTGGCAAGCGACTCCGCTTTGGAATCTACATGCATAAATCAGCCCACAAGCTTCGGAAAGAGTCTGCAAATGAACAATTTTGAAACGAGCTTTCAGCTGACTTAATATAGTTTTTTCGTTCTGCTTCATTAAGATGTGGAAATTTCGCTGCACTAAACACTACAGTAGCATACTGTACTATTAGACTCCAACAGTCCATATAAGTAGCATTAACTTTTTCTTGGAGAAATTCAATGATTCTCAAAACCAAACTCTGTTTTTACGGAATTTCGAGAGACGCTGAGCGACGAAGGGAACTTGATATACTCATTTAGATGTGTTCTCCCTTTGTGAACATTTCCAAGTGAACATGGATTGAGAGGACATACGCGCTATGACAATTTCGTCTTG